TGTCTTGGCAGTTAAGAGCCCTTAGAGCATTTATTGTTCTTACGAGGGACCTGGATTTGACTTCCAAAATCCAAATGTCAACCCGCAACCATTCATAATTTCAGTCTTGGGGGTCCCATCCCCTCCCAGGACCTCCCAGCAAGTGGAATATAAATACACACGGAGGCCAAACACATAAAAAATAAATAATTCTATTCCAGGACAGGCTCCAAAGCCACAGAGAAACCCTGTCTCGAAAAACCAAAAAAATAAATAAATAAATAAATAAATAAATAATTCTAAAAAAAAAACTTAAAGACTTTAAAATTAGGCTGAATGGAAGCCAAGGTACTGAGGTAGGAAGGAAGCTGAGGTACTGAGGTAGGAAGACGAGAGACTGAGGCACTGAGGTAGGAAGCTGAGGTACCGAGGTAGGAAGCTGAGGTGCTGAGGTAGAAAGGACGCTGAGGTGCTGAGGTAGGAAAGATACCGAGGTACTGAGGTAGGAAGCTGAGGTACTGAGGTAGGAAGCCGAGGTACTGAGGTAGGATGCTGAGGTACTAAGATAGGAAGGACACTGAGGTACTGAGGTACTAAGGTAGGAAGCTGAGGTACTGAGGTAGGAAGCCGAGGTACTGAGGTAGGGTTGCCATGGGTTAGAGGCCAGCCTAAACTAGAGAAGGACCCTGTCTCAAAAACAAACACAGGAATGTAGCTCGGCTGGAGAAGGCTTGTTTGTCATGCAGGAAGCCCTACGTTGGATCTCTACCACTCCTTAGACCTAGTGTGACTCTGGGAGATGAAGTCAGGAGGATGAGACGTTCAAGACCATTTTCAACTACATAGTGACTTTGAGGCCAGCCTAGGCTACATGAGAATCTGATTCGTGAAAAAAATAAAACAGGAGCAGAAGAGGTGACTCGGTGATTAAGACCACTGCTGTCACGGAGGACCCGGGTTTGGTTCCCAGCCCATTCATGTAGCCCACAATGTAGCTCCAGCTCTAGGGGATTCAATGCCCTCTCCTGGCCTTTGCACCCCACACAGATACATATGCCTAATCAAAACACACACACCCTGCAAATCAAACTGGGCAAGAAAACGCCTCTTTAAACAATAAAATAGAACCAGATGCAGTGGCACACTCCTTTAATCCCAGCACTAGAGAAGCAGAGGCAACTGGATCTCTGTGAGTTCCAGGCCAGTCAGGACTACACAGTGAAATCCCGCCTCAAAATGAAAAGAAAACAGTGAGGACAGACCAAGAGTGTCTTTCTTTCTTTGAAGATTTATTTAATCTATCATTTATGCAATGTTCTGCTTGCAGATCAGAAGAGGGCACCAGATCTCATTACAGATGGTTGTGAGTCACCATGTGGTTGCCGGGAATTGAACCCAGGTCCTCTGGAAGAGCAGCCAGTGCTCTTAACCACTGAGGCACCTCTCCAGCCCCATTATTGTTTTTCAAGGGGAGCAGGAATGAGCGTCAGGCATAGTGGCAGGCATAGTGGAAGAGTGGAGCCCTGGTGCCTGGGAGGTAAGGGGGATCCCCACAGCTCTAAGACCACACCCCTTCTTCTCAAATCCTCCCAGAGGCTTTAGGCAGACAGGATACCCACGGACCTGAGAGGCAGGCAGAGTAGCAAGTAGAAACAGACCAAGGAGTCTTGAAGGGGTATCCTCCCTCGGGGTTAGGGCCTCAGAGAATGGGACAGGAAAGTGGCGTAAGGGTCAGTGGACTTTATTTTTCTAGAGTTGTTTTATTTTGTTTTTTGGGGGCTTGGTTTATCTAGAGAGGGTTTCTCTGTGTCGTCTTGGCTGTCCTGGAACTTGCTCTATAGACCAGGCGGGCCCTGCCTCTGCCTCCTGAGTGCTGGGATTAAAGGTGTGCACCCCCGCTGCCTGGCATTTTTCATCCCTTAAGGATGGAGAGACTGAGACCATCCAAGAAGGTCTTCAGAAGTTTTGAGGAACGTCGCCCACTCGGCCTCTCCCTCTCCAACAACTTATTATCCAAGTGGGTCACCTGTGTGACGAAGAGCTCGCATATCCGATCTCTCAGTCTCCCCTCTTTTGGATCATCTAAGGACACCCCAGACTGGGGCTGCCCTAAACCCCTGATGGGACAGAGAGTTTTTCACTAAACATTGAAAAAAAAAAAAAAAAAAAAAACCAAAGCTGGGTGTCCCAGGGGTGGAGCCATTTTCCTGACACTGGGTAAAGGCTGGGACGTCCTGGGAAAGCGCTAATACCCTAATGGGCAGTAATGGCCCTGCACGCATCCACAAGGTCTCGCTAGGACCTTCTCCCTCAGACTACATGGCGCCTCTCTTTGGAGCAGACGGGATCAGCGTAACGAAAGGAGAAAGAACAGAAACTCAGAGAAAATGAGACGGGGCAGGAAGAGAAAGGGTAGAAAGGAAGGACAGGAAACTGACCACCTTCAAGGATTCCGAGACCTCACCCCGCCCACTTCCCCCGCCCGGGTCTAGCTCCCTTCCCCGGCTACGGGCCGTCTATAGCAGTTGCGTAGCGCCACCTGGCGGAAATAAGTGTGATTGCGCCATCACGGGGAGGAACGGACTGGTGGGGCGGGGTTGGGGGGTGGTGGGGTAGGGGGTGAGGTAGCCCAAAAGTTCATCTTAGACCTCACTTCCCCGGTTTAAACCAATTCCAGTTCTGCAGAGTTGGAATTGTGAGGCCCTGGGGTTGGTTACAGCTCCCAAGCATAGGAATGCAAGCCTTGGGGAGTAATGGCGGAGAAGCTGGGCCTTTGCCCTTCCTCTTAGACCTAGCACCTACTTCTCTAGAATGGGATAGCTCTAGGCCACCTAGCCAAGTGCCCCAGCCCTTGTGACAAAACATTTGCTAACTACTTGGCACCAGCACTGGCAAGTACTGGGTAAACATTGCTCAGACCCAAGGAAACAGGTTTGTGTGCTTTGGCCTAAGCTTGGGAGGCCCAGAGCTGGAGAAGCCCCCAAAGAAACCTGAAGCCCTGGAGGGTCTTTTGTAGTGCACACTCGAGGCTGCCAGGCTGCTCTGGAATCTGCTTATGGATCTTACAAGCTTCCGTAGGAGGTAGGGGCAGCAGGGAACAAAGACAGCTAAGCATAGGGCATAAGATCATTGAGCTTATCTCATGGGCAGTGGGGAACGCTGGGAGACTTGTGGGATGACGAGGTCAGGTCACAGATGGTTTGGAAGGTTAAAGTTGTGGTGGATCACAGTCAAAAATGGAGAAAACTGGGTCAGGTGTGATGGTGCACACTTTTAATCCCAGCACTCAGGAGGCAGAGGCAGGTAGACCTCTGTGAGTTCGAGGTCAGCCTGGTCTACAGAGTGAGTTCAAGGACAGCCAGGGCTATGTAGAGAAACCCTGCTTCAAAAATAAAATAAAGCAAAATAAATAAAAAGTAGGGAAAAGTGGTTTATTTGAGGAGTCAGTCACCTCCAGTTCTCCTGCGCCAAAAAGGGCTATGTGACACCAAAGTAAATAGATTTAGAGCCCCACAGAGTTAGGATAAGGCAGTATTCCTGGGCCAGCAAAAAGGCAGTTGCTATCAAACCTGATAACCTGAATCTGATCTCTGGGATCTTGGTGGAAAAAGAGAACCAAGTTGTCCTCTGGCAGCTACATGTGTGCCCTGGAAGATGTACAGCCACACAAATAAATTAATAAAGAGATGGAATAAATGTAAAAATTCATAAAACTGGTGATATAGCTCAGTGGGTGCCAAGTCTGATGACCTAGATTTGTTTCCTGGGACCCGCATCGCAGAAGGAGAGGATTAATTTTAGCATGTTGTCTTCTTACCTCCAGAGGTGTGCACAAGAACAAAAGTAAAGAAATAAAATGTAATTTTAAAATCCTAGCATACAAGAGCACTACCTGTGTGTGGTACACTTGCATACATGCAGGTAAAACACTCATTCATATTTTTAACCTTTTAAAGGTGGGGAGCACTGACATCTAGGGGCCAAGTTGGGGAGAGGACATACAAGTTGTAGGTCAGAAGGGATGGCCAGAGTGGGCAGCAGGCAAGATCTACCTGCTCTTAGCCTCTGCTAAGTGACCAAGGGAAGACCATGCAACGTGTTTTCAGGAGAGTTTTAACAGCAGGTGACAGGGAGGTTTGAGGTCCCACAGGTAATCCCAGCACTCAGATCTCAGAAAAGACAGACTGAGGAAGTTTAAAGAGGCAGCAAAGGGTGAAGGGTCCCCAGGGTGTGAAGCTGAAGGGAGCCCGAAGATGTGTGTGTGTGTGTGTGTGTGTGTGTGTGTGTGTGTGTTGTTCCAAGCTAGCCTGGAAACTACTATGTAACTCAGGCTGGTCTCAAACTCACAGCAATCATCCTGTCTCAGTCAGCAAAGGTCCGGAGCCACAATGCACAGCTTGACAAAGCCTATTTTTGTGGGACCAGAGGCAATGACTGGAAATGCAGAGGAGGAGAAGTGCGGGCTTCTCTGCAGAGTGGAAGCGTAACTATACAGGAAGCTGACACCTTTTGCTTACCTCCAGGTGCTGAGGGGACGGGAGGGGGTCAAGAAAAGTCAGGCTTAAAACTAATACCAGGAAGAGGACAAAGGTCCTGGTGGGTTTCCTGGACTAGAGGAAAGCTCACGGTGTAGAGAAATCTCTTCAGTCTGGACAGAGGGCAGAGTGAGGGCCACCTGGAGAGCCACTCACTAGGTTCTTCCTCCTGTGTGCGTCAGTGGACAGTCAGGACCCCCGAGGATTGCAGGAGTTTGTAGGATGGGTCACCATATTCCGGTCCCTGAACTGATGTACGCATCAGTTCGCATCAGGGTAGGAATCACTATGCAGGAAGCAACCCAAGGCTCAGCAGCATCTTGCTCCCCCCTGCCCAACTGGGCCCCTAAGGACTGACTGATGAGCTGGTCTGGTCTGGGAGGGGGTTCTTGACATTTGCCAGGGCGTGGGCGCGCGGCTATGTGCGCCTTCAAGCTAGACGCAAAGTACACAACGGAGAAAAAGGGTCACAGGCGGGGGCGCAGGAATCAGGTTGGTTTTATTGACCAGACCAGACCACGAGGCTTGACTGTAGCTATAAGCTGCCCTCCCTGGAAACAGCCGTGACTGCGCCAGCCCAGGTTAGGCATGGGGGCGCCATAAATTCTTGGACCGGTTCTGGAGCCTGACACGGTCGGCAATGAGGATGTGCTGCAGGAACCATGGCTGGGCGCGAAGCGTCTCTCCGAGGGCTCTAGGAAAAAAAAAAAATCAGGACTCTGGAAAAAAGAGCAAAACTCTCTATTCTGCCATTCTGTCCTCAGGATGATAGGGAAAGGACTCTGGGAAATTCTAACATAACGGGAGAGTGGGGGCGTGGTGGCCACACCTGCAAAATCAGTACCCAGGAGGATGGGGAAGAATAATCCCTAACAAAACAAAACAAACAAGGGGCTGGAGATACGCTCTGTGAGCAGAGTGCTTGCTTAGGTCCTAGGTTCCATTCCTAGAACCACATAAACCGGTGTGGTGGTGCACACCTGTAATCCGACCATTTGGTAGGTGAGAAGAGGATCAGAAGGAGCTACAAAGCAAAAGAACAAAACAAAACAAACAAAAAACCAGTACGCAGGAACTAATGGTCACAGACCCCTGAAAACTCCCTTGGCGGCTGCCACCCCTGCCTCCCCCTTCTCCCGCTTACCTATCGGACTCCTCTGAGATCCAGGAACGGCGGCTCAGCGACTGCTCCGGTTGGCGGGCTCGCTCCAGGTCCCGCGGAATCCGGGGCGCATAGACGGGAGAGCCAGCCCGCCAGCTCCTGCGTCGTGCCTCCCACAGCTCCTGCACCGGTGAAGGAAGCAGGAGGAGAGCGCTGCCAGCGACCCGCCCCGGGACCAGAGAGTCTGGGGAGAGCGGTCCAACGGCCCCACCCAGGGCACGGCGCCACAGGTAAGGCGAGCGGCGCAACCCCATGAGCAGACCCGAGGCGCGACCCACGGTGTGATAGCGGGGACTCGCCACGTGCTTGTACCAGCTCCCGGCGGGCAGCGGCAGCAGGAGCAGAAGCAGCAGCAGCGGCAGCAGGGGCCGGTTCACAGGAGCCCCCGGCCCGGGGCACCGCACTTCTCCGTTCGGCGCCAGCGCGCTCACGTCTATGGCCCCTTGGTGGGTAGGCCAAGAACTGGGTTTATGCCAGCTGCAGTGGAATTAGGACGTCGGAGCTCAGGAGGCTGGAGGAGACTAGTCAGTCGGTGCGACTACAGTCTCTCAGTGACCACGCCCCGGCTCGCCCCCGCGGCACCTGCCACGCTCACCCAAGGGAGAGGAGGATGGAGAGTGAGAGGGAGGGAGGGAGAAGAGGGAACCCAGGCAACTAGAAGCATCTCACTGAGTAGGTCGCCAGCTGGACTGCTCTTGAGGCTCCAGGTTGGGATATCCCTGCTTACCCTTTAAGCTTTTATTTTTGTATTTTTTAAATTGTGTGTGTACTTAAGAGCAGGTGCGATAGGAGTTGGATATCCCTGGAGTGAGGTAGGCACAGTAACTAGAAGTATGCTATGTCTCTTCAGAAAGGCCACCCATTAAAATTATAGCTGTTGTGGGGCTGGAGAGATGGCCCAGAGGTTAAGAGTACTGGCTTCTCTTCGAAAGGTCCCGAGTTCAATTCCCAATACATGATGGCTCACAACCATCTGTAATGAGATCTGGTGCCCTCTTCTGGTGCTCATACATGTGGGCAGAACACTGTATACAAAGTAAATAAATCTGGGAGGTGGTGGTGCAGACCTTTAATCATATATATATATGCCGTTGTACAGGCAAGGTGTCCTGTGCCTATAATCCCAGCACTCCGGAGGCAGAAGAGTTACAAAGATTTTGAAGTCAATCTGAGATCTTTTTTTTTTTAAATTATTTATTTATTATATATACAATATTCTTCCTGCAAGCCAGAAGAGGGCACCAGACCTCATTACAGATGGTTGTGAGCCACCATGTGGTTGCTGGGAATTGAACTCAGGACCTTTGGAAGAGCAGGCAATGCTCTTAACCACTGAGCCATCTCTCCAGCCCCCTCAATTTGAGATCTTAACCACGGAGCCAGAGCCCTCACTCCAGGCCCCTGATTTTGGTGTTTTTTTTTTTTTAGATTTATTTATTATGTATACAACATTCTGCCTCTATGTATGCCTGAACGCCAGAGGAGGGCGCCAGATCTCAGTACAGATGGTTGTGAGCCACCATGTGGTTGCTGGGAATTGAACTCAGGACCTCTGGAAGAGCAGCCAGTGCTCTTAACCTCTGAACCATCTCTCCAGCCCCCTGGTTTTGGTTTCTTGAGAGGTTCTCATGTAGCCCAGACTAGCCTCGAATGTGCTATGTAGCTTAGAATGACTTTGAACTACTGATCCTCCTGTTTCTACCTCCAGTGCTAATATTACAGATGCAGGCCACCATTCCCATCTTGAAATACCTTATTTTGATCTCCAAACAAAAGGAGTCGGGGAGGAGGCTGGAGAGATGGTTCAGCAGTTAAGAGAACTGGCTGCTCTTCCAGAGCACCTAGGTGATTCTCAGCACCTACATAGTGGCTCACAACAGTCAGTAACTCTAGTGCTTCTTCTGGCCTCTTCAAGCACCAGGCATGAATGCAGCACAGAGGCGCACATTCAGGACAAACACCCATACATACATACATACATACACCATATATACATACAAACACCATACATACACATATATATGCAAACACCATACACACATACATACAAACACCCATACATACATAAATACACAAACACCATACATACATACAAACACCATGCATATACAAACACCATGCATACATACAAACACCATGCATACATACAAACACCCATACATACATACAAACACTATACATACATACAAACACCCATACATACATACATAAAAACACCCATACATACATGCCAACACCCATACATACATACATACATACATACATACAAACACCATACATACAAATACCATACATACATACAAACACCCATACATACATACAAACACCCATACATACAAACACCTATACATACATACAAACACCCATACATACATACATACAAACACCTATACATACATACAAACACCATACGTACATACAAACACTATATATACATACATACCAATACCCATGTATACATACAAACATCCATCCATACAAACACCCATACATACATAGAAACACCCATACATACAAAATGACAAAAATTTTAAAGATTGAGTTTTAAAAAGAGAGTGGAGGAGGAACCTATTTCAGAGACAGAAGGGTCCCAGGGGTCCTAGCAGGTTCTCTAGGCCTCCCTCACTTGGAGAACTTGACTCTGGGTTTGGGTGGCTTATGAGGGTGGAGAGAGGCCACAGTCTCCTCTGCCTCAGTTCAGCTTCCTCTTTTTTTTTTTTTTTTCGAGACAGGGTTTCTCTGTGTAAGAGCCCTGGTTGTCCTGGAACTCACTTTGTTGACCAGACTGGCCTCAAACTCACTAGTTTCCTCCTTTTAAATGAGGGAATGGTTGTTGGGCGGTGGTGGCGCACGGCTTAACCCAAGCACTCTATAGTCAGAGGCAGGTGGATCTCCGTGAGTCCAAGACCATCCTGGTCTACAGAGGAAGTTCCAGGAAATTCAGAGCTGTTATACAGAGAAACCGTGACTCGAAAAAAAACAAAAAGAAACACAGTCTCAAAAAACAAACAAAGAAAAACATAAAAGGACTGGAGGTGGTGACCACTTCATCTTGTATTTATAAACAAATCATGCCAGGTGTGAACAGTACATCTCTGCTACCCAAACACTTGGGAACCTGGGGCAGGAAGATGGTGCGGTCCAGGCCTGCCTGAGTCACACAGTGAGGACCTGATTTCTATCCGAGGCAGGCCAGGTCCCACACAGCCAAATTCAGGCTAGTAAGACCCCGTATCTAAACAAACAAATACAAAAAGTACACACACATCTGCAAGGTGAGGGTCTTGGTGCCATATCTGACACCCAGTAGGCACTCTGCGCTTGTAAGGGAGATTTTACTGTTGCTGTTTCAACAGCTCCGGGTCTGTCAAAGTGAACGCTTAAGTGAACACTTCTATGGGGTGGGCAGAGGATGCGAGGGGGCGGGCTGTTTGGCGTGAGGACCTTCGGGACCAGACAAGCGTCAATGAAAGCCGCCCCCATCAACCAACGTGTTCCTATGGGAGCCCTAGTCTTGGAGAGAGCGGCCTGGAGAATGCTGTGGGCGGCGGCGAGGCACGACACAGGCCATTAAGGTCCCCAGGCGCTGTTGCTCACTTCCAAATCAGGGACCTCAGGGAAAAGCAATGGAGCAGGGAAAGTGTGGGGCGCCCCCTGGAGGTAGCCTGGGAAATGCAGCTCCATATGACCATATCAATTGTATGGCCCATCCTGAGATTGACCCCCAAGTACTAGACAGGCTGAATTAGAAAGATAGAAAGTTGCCAGTGTGAACAACTTAGGGGAAGACCTTGTCTGCAATTAAAAACTTAAAAAGGGGTAGGAGACTGGAGAGATGGCTCAGTGGTTAAGGACATTTGTTGATACCTGCAGTCAAACACTCAGGCTGATCTCTGAGAGTTCAAGGCCAGCTTAGTCTAAAGAGCAAGTTCCAGGACAGCCAGGGCTACACAGAGAAAACCTGTCATGAAAAAGCAGACAAACAAGCAAACAAACGAAAGCCTGGAGGGAGGGGCAGGAACTGCCTATACGGTTCTGTGATAGAGCCCTTCTTAACATGTGCAAGTCCCTCAGTTCAATTCCAAAGAAAGAAGGGAGGATCCAGACAGAAGACTCAGCAGGTAAGGTGATTGCCACCAAGTCTACCGACTCCAGTTCAATTCCTGAGACTCACACGGTGAAAGGAGGGAGCCAGCTCCTGCAAGCTGTCCCGACTTCCACCCTTGTATCATGGCACACACAGTAAGCATGCACCTACCCACAGAAATAAATAGATAGAACAAGAAGGAAAAAAGAAAAAATTGGCACAGTGAGTGGATGAATAACAAAAGTGAGTGGGGCACAAAAATACAGTTTACATTCCTGACTCAGTGTGCTGCTGTTTCCTGGAGCCTAAAGGCCAGCCACCTCAGTCTGCGGCTGTGGTCCAAGGGAGGGAAAAGATACAAGTCAGGGTACGAGGGGAAGATAAAAGACATGGGCTGGGGGGGGGGGGGGGTGCACAGAAGCTGAACTGTTCAAAGGCAAATAGAAGCAACCCAAAGTGGGGTTAGAGGAGCAGGGCATAGGATTCTCCTGAAGATTAGGGCACAGAGGGGGTCTCTGTGTCCTGCCCCCTCTTTCTGCCCAGGGCCTAGCAACAAAGGATTTTGTTGCTCATCAGGAAACAAAACGCCATTCGATTAGAAAGCAAGGGGCTTGGTTTCTAATCTGCTTCCATCTCTTTCAGCCAGTATTGATTTAAAATTTTTCAGATTGTAAATCTAGTTGCAAGTATTTAACATGTGCACACACACACACACACCACAGCGTGCATGTGGAGGGCAGAGGACAACTAGCCAAGAATCGGCTCTCCCACTCATGTGGTTCTTCATGTGCTTAAGTGGTTAAGGCAGTGCTCTTAACCACTGAGCTGTCTCTCCAGCCCTTGGTTTGTGGTTTTTTAAGACAGGGTTTCAGTTTCTCTGTGTAACAGCTCTGGTTGTCCTGGAACTCACTTTGTGGACTAGGCTGACCTTGAATTCACAGAGATCCTCCTGCCTCTGCCTCCTGAGTGCTGGGATTAAAGGTGTGCTCCACCACCCCTTGTTTGTTTTATTGTGTGTATGTGGGTGTTTTGTCTGTGCATGCCAGAAAAGGGAGTCAGATCCCTTTGAGGTGGAGTGTAAGCAATTGTGAGGGGCCTGACATGGATGCTGGAACCAAACTCAGGTCCTTGGAAGATCAAGTGCTCTTAACTGCTGAGCCATCTCTCCAGTCCTCACGCAGGGTAATATTTACATTTCCTCTCTTCCTGAAAGCTACGTTATTTTCCTGTTTTTCTATACCCTACTTTGATATTTCCTAGATATTTCAATAGCTGATGAACTTTCTTGTAATATTCTTTCCCAGTCTCCAGGCACCTGAAGCGAACCATTACAGCAGCCCTACTCAAGAGACTCTGGAGCTTTCCTTAGAGAGCTGGTAGCTGCTGGCCCAGTCTGAGCCT